GTCCCCATGCCTGCGCCCCGCTGCCAGGGCCGTACCTTGGCCTTGCGCTCCTTCCTCTCCCACCACTCGTCGAAGGTGCCGAAGGCGATGTTCTCGATCATCTTGCGGTTCAGGTCCCTCTGCATGATGTTCTTCATCTCCTGGATGAGGGCGGCCAGCACCAGGTCCACCGTGGCCTCGTGGGGGTGCCGCTGGGCCGGGGGGGGCGGCAGCGCGCTGAACCCGGGGTACGAGGACGTCGCCGAGGGCGACAGGGGGCCGTAGAGGTTCTGAGAGGGGTGGTAAGGGGGGAACTGTGGCGGCAGGCAGTGGGGCCACGAGTGCGGGTGGGGAGGGGGCAGGGAGTGTGGGTGGGGGGGCTCAGGGTATCCGTAAGGGAGCGGCGCGATGGGCGGGGGGCCGTAGCGGTGGTCCTGGTCGAAACGCGCCCCATCTTGGTCCATGTAGGCGTGGGGCGGGGGAGGGGGGAGGCTGTGGAGGTGGGGCGGCCCGTGAGAGGGGGGGTAGGCGCTGAAGTCGGGGTCTCGGATCTCAGTGGCCCCGCCCACCCTGCTGCCGGCCGCCCCGTTGCTGGTGCCTGCGTTGCCCTGGCAACCCCCCAGGCGCATCTGGTGCAGCCGGCTGAGCATCTGCGTCTGCATCTGGAAGGACATGGGGGCGCCGCCCGTGTACTGGCTCACCAGCTCCATGGAGCTGGCGTAGTCGTAGACGGAGTGGTGGGGGGGCGGCAGCGGAGGGTACTCGAGGTGGGACAGGGGTGGGGGCAGCCCGGGCGGGGGCTGCAGGCCGAACCCGGGGGGAGGTGGGGGCATGTGAGGGGGGAAGGAAGGCAGGGGAGGGGGCAGGACGGTGCTGAAGTGCTGCTGCTGCTGCTGCTGCGCGGCGTCTGAGCCGGCGGAGTCCGAGGGGTCGGAGGTCGGGGCCCCGCCGGGGACGGCCTGGGGAGCCTGGTCAGGGGCGGACGGCGGCCCCAGCTCCTCCTCTTCCTCGGAAATCTCCATGTCCTCGCCGGAGGATTGGGGAGAGGACTGTGGGACGGACAGAGAGGTTAGGCAGGCCTGGAGAGATGCGCTGTAAAACGACACACACACATACCGCGGCGCGCCAGACTCACCTGCCCCTGGCCATTGTGCGCGGGGGGGCTGTCGCCGCTCTCGGTCCGGGGGCAGGGGATGGTCAACGTGGAGTGGGGGGTCTCGTCGGGCTCCTGCCCCCCACACAGAGGCTCGGGGAGCGCGG